TGCTAGTGCTAGTGCTAGTGCTAGTGCTAGTGCTAGTGCTAATGCTAGTGCTAGTGCTAGTGCTAGTGCTAGTGCAAGTGCTAGTGCTACTGCTACTGCTACTGCTACTGCTACTGCTACGACGACGACGACTACTTCTACTGCTGCTGCTGCTACTATTGCTGCTGCTGTTACAGCTACTGCTACTACTCCTACCACTACTACTACTACCACTACTACTACTACTACTGCTGCTGCTGCTGCTGCTGCTACTACTACTACTACCACTACTAGTACTGCTGCTGCTGCGACTACTGCTGCTACTGCTGCTACGACTGCTACGACTGCTACTACTAACTACTACTACTACTACTACTACTACTACTACTACTACTGCTACTACTTCTGCTACGACGACGACGACGACGACGACTACTACTACTACTACTACTACTACGAGTAGTAGTACTGCTACTGGCTACTGCTGCTACTGCTACCACTACTACTACTACTGCTGCTGCTGTTGCTACTACTACTACTACTACTACTACTACTGCTACTACTACTGTTGCTGCTGCTTCTGCTGCTTCTGCTGCTTCTGCTGCTTCTGCTTCTATTGTCATGGCTACCCTTGGCACTTGCAGGAAAGGATAATCGTACCACATTAACAGACATTGTCAGTGCATGTGCATGCTGACAGGTGTTGATTTCGCTGCAAGGCTTGGTGCTGGTTGAGGCGCGACGTGTGTCACCTGATGAGCACGTGTGCAAATTAGCCCCGTGGCAGGACCCATACTTCAACGAGCCTGGCCACGAATGCTGCGGCCCTACTCCTGAATGCTGCGGGCGTGGCTGGGTAGCAGTGTAATTAGCCTCCAGATGTGCCCCATGTCCTGCAGGGGAGTGCAACAGCGAACACGGCCGAAATGCCTCGGCTCTGTGCGCCCGAGAGATCCCAGAAATATAGCCATGCCAGACCAGATTCAGCCATGCCCATGACATCCGCAGCCTGAGAGGTACAACGAGAACGTGCGGCTTCTGGTCTTGCGCACTGCACTCAACGTGTCCAAGCAGCCTCCCTCCGGCTTCGAGGAGGTTGGGTTGAGCCAACCTGTGCACCTGTTATTAGCATCTTGGTTGAAAACATCTTCAGATCGTGGCCTCGCACTTCGCCCGACATGGACCGCGGCTGCTTGCAGAGTGTGAAGAGGCACAACAATGCACAAGCTCCCGCAACGTGATGTGCTGCATGCTGGTTGAGTGCATTTAGTCATGTAGTATGTTGCCTACAGAAAATGCTACAGATGAATTTGGTAGCTGTGATCGGCACATTCGAAACGGAATACGCAGGCTTTGCTCGAAGTCAATGCTGGCCGTACCAGCGAGGGTTTTCGCAAGGTCGGCAACTCAGTTTCCAGTAATCTATAGCCTGTGATATGTGATAGTAATAGTGTCTCCAGCGACACCAGACAGTACTAAGGTCTTGGCGAGAAACCTCGTGCCAGGGCTGCGGGAACAATGGGGAGCCGTAGCCTCACCGGCCATGTAGAAGTTAGCCTCAGCCACCCTCTCCGACACCAACCACACACAACCCACAGCATCGCATCTCTCGTAGCTGCCCGCTTGCGCAATGCACCGTGTAGCTCTGCGCGGCATGGAGCGACTCCGTGCCCCGCAGCTGTTGGAGAATTGCATTCTCTTCGCAGGAAATGTACAGAGCGTCACCATCCCAAAACAACCGGAAGCGTCCCAGCTCTGGCAGCTCGTGAGTAGGCTCAAATATGTCACTTGACCTGATTACTGATTTTCTTGGAAGCTGCTAAAGGGACCAATGTTGTTGGATGCAAAGGCTGAGAAGTGCAACGAGAGTGCAGAAAAGGAAACCCCTGAAGACCTATAAGTGACTGAAGATCCCTAAAAGCAGAAGAATGTCCAAGTCCGCGAAGTCTGCGAAGTCTGCTTTTGCGAATGTGATAGGGTTTTGGGGATATATTAAAATACTAGTAGTATCGTAATAAGGAGCCTTAAGCCCCTAGCCAGTCAGAGCCCTTTAAGCTCCCGGAGCCAGGAGCAGTTGACGGCCTACGTGGGAACCCACCAGGCCAGGCCCCTGTCCCCTGCCCTGGTTCGATTTGGCCCTAAAAGCCCCCAGGTTTTTGAGGATTCCTTTTTGTAGTTAGAGTTTTAGTATATAGTATACCCCCCCCCCCCCCCAAAAGCCTCTTTTTTTGCAGGAGCTCTTCACGCGCTTCCAGACCGCAGTGGAGCAGCTCGACACGGAAAAAGACATGCGCAAGGCGTGGCTGAAAGCTCGGGGGGGGGGGGGGGACACCCGGAAAAGCTGACGGTCAGTTGTCATTGACGTGCTTGGATGTAGTCTTCACGTTCACGCCAGAAAGTGGTGTCGGAGCGCGACGACTTGATCAAGACCCGGGACGAGATTGCCCGGGCCCGGGACGAGATTGCCCGGGCCCTTGAGCTCGCTGACACCTCAGTGGAACTCCGTGAGCGGGTCTGAAGCTGCATCGCAGCAGCGCATGGAGTCAGGAGAGAGACAAGGCGGAGCAAGAGCGGATGCATGCAGAACAAGCCCGCAAGGCCCCAAAAGTTACTGTCAGCTTCAGTGCCGTGCTGCGCCTGAGCCAGGAGCTTGCGGAAGCGGAACCTCCAGGGCCCGCACAGCTGACAGTGAACGACGCCCGCGTCCTAGAGCTGAGGGACAGCCGGGACAGCTGGGAAGATCCCGGCTCTGCTTGGTCTCTTCCAAAAAGTCAAATGACGCTGCCGGGCTCCGGGCTCTTCAGGTGTCATCCGAAAATAGGTGCTTCCAACATCGGAATAATCCTCCCTGCGTGCTCTGAGAGAGCTCGTCTGTGACTGGCAGAGGTTCTCATCTCCGTGTGCTTCGAGGAAGTGAAAGGGGCGCCCCTGGAAGTGAAGCCCTGGGACACCAACTTCGAGGTGCGACGGGTGCTCGCGGGAGCCAAGAGGTGACACAGTCAGAACAGGCAGAAGACCGCTCGTAAGTCGAAACGATCTTCCGTTCTTTGCCGTTGAAAGCTGTTCGCGGGCCTGCGCCGGAGTCTGCCCAAGAAGTATTGTGCCCCGCGGCAGGAGGTGGTGAGCAGTTGGCTACAGGCTGCACAGCGTTCGCAGAATCTGCAATCGAGCCTCGTGCGGTGCTACCCCGCGCCATTGCCCTTTGTGCACAGAACGCTGCGACAGGGAAGCAAGTACGAGGATTGATTGGTATTTGCACTTGAGGAGTTCAGAATGAAGGGAAGCCTAGTAATTGGGTAGTCTTTGTCTTGGCGCACAGCTTTCGGCTCACAGTCACAGATGCTGTGCACTTTCGCACTAGACCTTTGCCAAGCTTTAGCCTGCCGTGCGTGGCCACCGTGCATACTGTGTTCTCTGCTAGCTGCACACCTGCTGCAACTCTGCGGCTACTGCCGCTGCTCCACTTGATGCAAGAAACCGTGTCCTTGCGGTGTGGCACATGCTCATCCAGCCTACGCACCTCAACTGCACTGTACGGGCGTGCGTCAGCAGACTCTGGCAGACGGCAGCCCGCAAACGTTTCAGAGGTTGCCCTCCGGTGAGTCCGAGGGCTTGCCAGCGAGGTGGCAGGACCGTGCACGGCTGGCAGCTGATTCAGCTGATCGCTTTGGGCCGCCAGGACCACTCACCGACGCACCAGCCAAAGTGGCACAAGCACGTGAAGTCCAAGGCGCCTCAGGCCCGTGCTTTCACGTGTGCAGAGATTGATGTGCTTCGAGGGCTAGATTGCTAGATTTCTGCGACCAGTCCCGATGCTCCGTGCCTCCAACTTCAGCATTTCGCACCTAATTAGCTAAATCGTGGCACGCGGCGGTTGCCAAGCGCCTGGCGCTCGTGAGCTTCGCAGGAAAACGTCCTCACGGTGCCCGGCTTGCAGGAGGTCTGCGGCCTTGCCTTTCGCCAGGAGGACCGAACTTCCACTCGAAGTCCCGAAGTCTTCCGAACACGCCTGCAATCTCAGCGTGCCAGGACAGGCTTTTCTCACGTGGAGCTCTAGACGCAGCCCAAAGTCGGCGCGGCTTCGGCCAGGCGCAGAGCGGCAGACTTGTGCTGTGATGGACATCCAGATCTGGTGGGAGGTGGTCCTCCGGCTGTTTCCGGAGGGAGCGCCTGTCCCTTATGGGACCACCCTCTTGGACCACGTCTTCTCAGCACTTTGGCTATGCAAAAAATATGCCATGGACCTCCGTCAAGGTGAGCAGATGTGAGCAGTGCACAGTGCATGTCACGATGCAGAAAAACCCGCCTTGTTGAAGCTGGCATGCCGCACATTGCAGCACAGTATCTGTGGCATGTCTTGGCATCCAAAGGATAATATCGGTGGATGTATCGCTGCGGGTTGATCGGCTGGGAAAGCACCATGCTATCGAATGTGAGTGAGGGAGCCTTGTAAATTCGACATGCCTTGGCCCTGCAAGGAAGTCCCTTAGGGTGTGGTTTCGAAAACCAAGCTGCTGATCGCATTTCTTTTAGCTTGCCTGCATTACTGCCGTGCTTCCCTTTACTTGGTACAAAGATGTCGAGTGTCAAAATCTCATGTGCCACGCGGCCACACGCCGTGCAGAGCGCGCGGCTTTCGCAGTCGCTTTTTGATGCCTCGTGCAGAAAGTGCAAACAGCATACAAACATCCAAGCCTGAAGCCCGAGACCGGAGGGCGCCACCTCATGCTGCCACAAACCGAGAGCCACACACAAAGTTGCTGTAAGTCCTTCGACGAGGGCTGCTTGCAGCTCTCCGACCTGGATTTCCCACCCTTCCTTGAAGTAGGTGTGCAGTGAACAGCTGGAGTTACAGATATTTATGGGGGTTTCCAGAAGCTTTGTGGAGCCGCTTGAATTCGTGCGTGCAGCTTTCGGGGTATACCGGCGACAAGACTTTGGCTGACAAAAGCCTGGACTGCAGGAATCTTACGCTGTTAAGCTTCGCAGCCATTTGCAACGTGCCACAACATAAGTAGGAAACACGTCAGATGGTGTGGGGTTTGCCTGCTCAGGGTCATGATGAGACCACGAGTTTGACCGAGGAGTGCGACCAGGATTTTGATGGGCTGCTGCTCTGGGACGACTTCCAGGAATTCGTCCTCCGCGGTCTACAGCCGCTGCTCAAAGGCGCGACAGAAAAGCTGGGCTCTAGGTACTCTAGGTGCCTCAAGGGCCATTTGTGGCTGTCACTGGCTGTCACCCGTGCTGCGGGTGCTTGTCATGATCGGAGGTCAGAAGACTGGACAAAGCGCTGCAGTGAAGGCCATGCTGCCCATGGCCCCTCGCCTGCATTGCGGGCAGAGGGACCTTGGGCTCGTGGATCCAGCCCAGGCCTTCGCTCACCAGGCAAGCAATCTGCAGGCGCCGCCGTGAAATCCACCGTCATCTCACGACATGAGCTTGGGTTTGGCAGAGGCATATCAGCCGGTGCAGAAAGCGGCGGAGGAGGTCACCAAGCTTCCAGCAGTGATCGCCTGAGGGAACCCAACAACCAGTGCTTCATCCTCAGTTTCTGCAATTTTCTGCAAAGGAGACTCCGTCAAGTGCCACGCCGACGGTGCTGAAGGATCGAACCTGCCTGCTCAGCACTCAGATAGCCCAGCGCCGCCCGGTCATGCTGCCAGGATCCATCGGGAAAATCCCGGGCCGTCGGCTTCGCAAACGTTGCGATGGTGCCGAGTGCTCGAGATATGACAGACTTGCTGAAGGACCCACGCTCGCGCTCGCCATGAAGCACATCTAGTGAGAAATATCCGGTGTGAAATAGTTGGCTGGAAGGAGTACACGTTCCCGGAGAATGATGCTGCTTTGGGACGGGGTGCTTTCGGCACAGTTATGAAGGTGACCCACAACGGCCAGAGCCTTGGATTTGATGATTGAGATGATCCAGTGCCTCCTTTCCTCCCTGCCTGAAGCGCCACTTTTGGGGTGTCTTTGCGAGTGCCCCATCGAAAGCTGCAAGCTGGGAGTCGGGAAGCAGGGTCGGGGTGAGTGCAGGGAAACGGACCCCACTAAAATCCTAAGTCACTAAGCTCTGTCACAAACCCCTGCTACAGCCGACCAACATGACGGAAGAAGATTCGCAGAGTCCACAGGTAGTTGCGCTTGCAGGAACAAGTCCTGAATCGTGCCTTGCGATGAGTGCCTTTCTTGAAATTCCTTTCAACGTGCCTTCGCAGTAGTGGGGCGGTGGCAGTTTTCGCTCGGACTTTCCTGAGCCCTGCAATCTCGGCGCCACCAATCCAGTCTTAAAGTTGGTCTGCTGAGGGTTCGAAACGGTCCCGAACCATGCCCCGCCAAGCAGGATGCCTGCCCGTCCTTCTGTGCAAAGTGCCTGAGGCACTGGCGAGGTGCGGGCCATGAAGGCGGTGCGCCTATCGGATGGTGCGGATTCCGCGCAGCTTCGGGACCTTCTGAGAGAGAACTACTAACTACTAGTACCCGAACTACCCTAAGCCAAGCCATGCCAAGCCCCAACAGCCTTCAAACAAAAGCCCTTCATTACGCTTTGGAGTGTTTGGCTGCCCCAGGAGCTGGTGGAGTTAGAGGTCTCCATGCTCAAGAGCCTGGATCACGTGAATTTGCTGCGTCTCCATGAAGCCTTCCGAGATTCCGAGAGCTTCGCCCTCAGAGGGTACCAGTAGCTCTTTGAAAATGCTGGGAGACGGTGGCTCATCCAGAGGCTGCATGTACCTGATCACCGAGCTCTGCGCCGGCGGCTCGCTGGCTGAGCGCTTGGAGCAGCAAAGGACGGGCTACAGGAATCAAGATATTCAAGTCAGCTTGCGAGACTTCGAAGACTTCGACATCTCAGGGTTTTGCCACGTAAACGCAGGATGCTCCGCAAGCCAATGTTGGAGGGCATGGCGGCGGCTTATGCCGAACAAATTCTCAGTGCTGCCAGCTACTGCCATGATCGAGGACAGACGGATCCTCGTATCCTGTTCTTAAAAGGCGTCTTCGAAGACTTCGCCGTTTTTTCTTCCTTTTGCCTGTCGGTTCAGGAGTACTTCACCGGGACCTGAAGCCGGAGAACGTCTTGTTCTTGACGCCGCGCTCGGACAGTCCGGTGAAGGTGATCGACTTTGGGCTGTCACGCGACGGCATTCGGAGAGAGATGCGATCTGCTCCACACACTTCGCATTGGAAGGTCCGACACCATGGACCGAATTCGGCAGAATTGCACGCAGGTGGGGAGCCGATTTTAGCCAAAGACTGTTGGTGAATGTTGGCGACTCGGAGCGGCAACGCGCTTTCGGCAGGAGATTCATGATCGTTCTGGTGCTCTCGGCGCAGTGGCTCGACTGCTGCCAAAGTTGCCTGGAGGCCGGTGGCAATGTTGTGATGTCGACCACGGTGACCGCACTTCTGCAAGGACTGGAGATTTTAGCAACAAAAGAGACGAAAGAGGCCTGAGCTCGGGCGTTGCAGGGCTGACTGCGCAGCGTGCTGGCCACATTCGTGGAAGGTAATGCAACGAGCTGGAACGCCTCACTACATGGCTCCAGAGGCGGTACTAGCGAGCTGTGGTGGAGCTTCTACGGCCGTTTCCCACCGGTGGTTTGTAGGGCGCTTCGGCGACCGCAGGTCTACACGGGTATGTACGGCGACAGGGCCGACGTCTGGTCGTCGCTGAGCTCAGTCGATGGGAACGTTGTGGGCGGGATTCTGGGGAAGCGGACCAAGCAGACGTAAGCACACGAAGGATCGGGGTCATCCTCTTCGAGATGCTTTCGAATCGCCATCCCTTCTACACCAGTGGAAACGACCTGGAAGCTGCCGCTCGGCAAGGATACTTACAGAGAGTCCCTTCGGCCGCCTTAGCCACTTCAGGTGAAGCGTCGCATCTTGAGCCCGGACGGGGCCGACTTCTGTGATCTGTCTTGGGGCGAGGCAGAGAGAACCATTCTGCGAGCAGATGAGTTACTTAGCCAGGCAACGATAGCTAAATCAGGCAGCCAGGGAGCCGGTCGGTCAGCCGGTCGGGTTGCTCTAGCAATCAACTGTCATGTCATGTGAAGACGGGAATGACTTCGCATGGCAAGCCGGCATGACTGGAAGATGACTTCCCGGTCGCAGAGTCAGACATGCTCGCGTGCAGTCTCATCCGGCCAGAGCACACCAGTAGACTCCTGCGCTTCGACAGACCTGGTTGGAAGGTGACCGCGGCTGCGCAACGAGCCTGCCGGGAATGCCTGATGCATCTCCATCCTGATTGCTAACAGACTGCAGCGTCTCGATGCTTCGGAACCTTCAAAGAAATCAGCAAACACCAGTTGCGTCTTTTCGCCGCATGGCTACTGGAAGATGAGAGCCGGCGCGCCAGGTTGGACCCAGATCGGCGACCATCTGCTCAGCGCATGTTGGCACATAAGTGGTCCCCGTCCCAGTCCACAGCTGCACTCGTAACGACTGCAACGGCTCTTCGAGACCCTGATGTTTCGGCAATGGTGAGGTTTGACACAGTGCCTCGGCTGGCTTTGGGCATGTCCGGAGGCATGGACAGTGGACGCTCAGGACCGACATGTGTTCTCTGCCGGCTGCAGTTTTAGGTCACAATGTCGGCTGTTATGTTCTGGATTCCTTTGATGTCCGCAGGTTTCTTGGCCTTGGCCAGATCTCCACCGCGGATTGCGGCTTCACAGGTCTGTTCCGTCCTGCTTGACCTTACAAACCAGCACTAATCCATTCCAGATCTTGAAGCCATTTGACGTCTCGTTCCCATGGAATCGTGCCATCGGCCATGTGAGTCTAGCATAGCATCGCAGCCGTATTGGATCAAGGGAGCGATCCATCCTTCTAGCTAAGCTGAACTATCGATGGCTGAGGCCTGGGAGACACGGTCTTGCAGAAGAAACTTCGCACCGCAAGACTGGATCCTGTGAGGCATTGCACCGGCTAGCTGAGAACCCTTGGGACAAGCAGGACACTGCATGTGACTGCATCGTCTTCACGTGGTTTCTTCCTTATGCCGCGGGCTGCAGGAGACCTGCTACATCACCCTCCTGAAAGTGCTCAACAACATCGTGGAGCACCCGGCAGAGGCCGAAGGGGGCAGAAAGGCTGAGGCTTTCGAGGCCGCTCTCTTCCGAGGCGAAGTTCCGGCACCTGAAAACCTCCAACGCCGCGCTGCGCGCCAAGGCACTCGTCGTACTCGTGTTGTCTCGAGCCCCCTTTGCGCTCTTCCGGTTCTTTTTGTGGACAGGTTTTCGACTTGCCGGGCGCCAAAGAGTTCCTTCTTAGCTGTGGCTTCACAGAAGAGGAGGGTGGCGAGGTGCTGGCGTCTCGGCTGATATATTCCGTCCTGGTGTGAGGAGTCGTGCAGGGCTACGTACAGGTCCATATGAAATGCCGGAGAGGGTTTCGCTCTTGCAGAGTTGCTTGCTTCCGCAACCGCTCTGACGAATTTGGGCTCCTGCCGCCTTCCGGCGCAAGTCTCCCGTCGGCGGATCACCAATGCATAGCTACAACCTTGGACAAGACTACTGATTGACATGTGGCCCAGGATTGTCCCGCCGGGCAAGAGGCCAAGATTGCTGCAGCTCGGGACTGCCTCAAGAAGCATGCCGATGACGAGCACCTTGGCCAGACTTGGCGGCACTGTAGAAGTATAAGTTGCATACTCTGTCAATCTGTCCTAAGAACCCCTGATACCGCGGTGTGGCTCCTAAGGTAGGGCTCGACAGTAGTCTTTCTGCTCACCGGCCGATGGCTAGGGTCCAGATCCCGATTGCTCCTGAGGAAGATGAACGAACTGCGGCGCCAGCGCGACTTGAAAATTGCCGAGGCATCTTCCCTGGAGCTCAGCTGGCCCAGTGAGAGTGAGACTCTCTAAGGAGAAGGCGAAGTCGAAGAGAGATCCCTTCACATGCCACAAGGAGTTGGCGGCCACAGACTCCTGGCTCGCAATTCGATTCAAAGGTCGCGCCAGGTGAGGCGAGGCCGAGGCCTCAACTCCTGCGCTGTCAGGAAGAAGAGAAAGCAGAGCTGCGGAAGGACGGGCCTTGTCTATCAGGTGGCAGGGCAGTGCCTGCAGGGCTTGGAAACTGGCAGGCACTTGAGCGCGATCGACTGGAGCTCGCCGCAGAGATCGCGGCACGGGGCCCGACGCAGGCGTCCAAGGCAGGAGGATCTGTCCCGTCAGCTGTTGAACTGTCGCAACCCAGCTTTGCTCCGGAAAGCGAAGTCCCCAACCTTCGAAAAGAAGGGGAGTGTTCGCCGTGATAGATGCCGAACATGAACCACAGTGTATGTGCCACCAGCCTAGCTGAACTTCATGCCACACTGCAGGGAACAGCAAATTACCTCACGTCGTATCAAGATGGGTTCCAGGCGCAGTTCTCTTTCGGCAGTATACTGGTATTTTCGAAGCTTTGCAGGACTCTGGAGGACACCCATCAACAGCACAGAACTGTTTTGCTGAGATTTCGTTTAGGATTTTCGTCGAGCATGTCTTGGGAATTCGTGCATCGGATTCTTCGCTCCAACTTCGACCACGGCAATCACACGAGCCTCAAGACTATTGGCGAACATGTGTCTGTTGTTGGCCCGAAGCAGGCGATCTCTGTAATTCGGAATCCTCCAAGACGGCTTCGGGAAAAGAACTGAACCCCAATGATGCTGACGATGCTCGGCAAGCCCTTCAGCGTGCTCAAATCTGGGTAGCAGTGACCAAAGCACGGGTGTTCTTGATCACACAGTCGGCTAAATCGAGCGTTGGCGGGCGAATTCGGAACCGGTCTGGACGCGGCACGGTTGGATTCATAACAGCACGACATGCCATTCGACAGGAATGACATGACTTGTTGAATAATCGTGGAAGGGCCTCGGATGTCACAATCCGGCATGGCACGGTGCTTGGTAGCTGTATCCTTCCTCGTTGCCTGTCCATGTGTCTGCACTATTCAACATAGTCACATAGTCTATGGCCGTCCACCGAGTACAAATGTAAAGCTTTATCGAGACTTGGACAGCAACCGTAGAAGCCGCTTGCACCGAATGCAGGGCCTGATGCCAGAATCGATTTGCAGAATGTGTAGTACCGGGGAGTCACTCAACATTCATGTGCCCGATCTGCTTCCGCGGGAGATTCCTAAACTAATAGCACAGCCTCCTGGTCGCAAGATCTCAGTCATTGGATGAGACCCCCATGAGACTCGAAAAGCCAGTTCTATCTGTCAGCGAGTCTTTGGCGTCGCCAGGCAACCGACTTGAAGTTCGGCGCCCACGAGGCGCGGCCAGACTGCGGCAAGGCCGGTGGCGGCTGAGCCTAAGCTGGCTGGACTGCCGCTTTGGCAGCAGCAACAGATTTCATTGTTTAGGGTTTAACCATAGGCTTTTAAAACCCTATAACTTTACAATACCTTATAGCCTTATGGTTCTGCAAGCGCCCTGGAACCGCGGACCGTCGGGCTGAGGCCAGCCAGGTGCTGATCCTTTCACAGGCAGTTCAGGAGACCCACAACGAAGTGTAAGTTGCGCACGCAGCGCTGTCATGTCGCACACATGGTATGGCATGTAATTGTAGTTGTATGCTTCAACTGGAATGTGGGTCTCGTGGATGTGGCGGTATGATGGTAGTGTTTCCAGTTTCTGGAAGAGGCCCTTTGTGCCCTTGCTCTAGGCCTGCATGTGAAGAGAAGTCGCCTGCCCACGTTGGGTTCCAAGACTTCTCTGAGAGCTTCTCACTTCCGCAGCGCACAGCTTCAGACTCAGAGAGACACACTGAGCCTAGCGGATCCTAGCGGCCTCGCATTAGCTTGGGGCCTATAGGCGCCCACGCTGTGCGCTGTGGGAGTGATCAGGACCTAGTGGGCTGAGGGGACCTTTTAGAGCAGTCTCGGAGCCGCTCTCTGCGAGAGAGAGCCGAGCCCGGTTCTTGGACTTAGGATTTAGCCCGTTTGAAGGGGATGTGACATGTCATCGCTGATGGCTCGGGCTTTATGCCCTTGGTTCTTGGGCTTGCGCTTCGAATCGGACGGACTAGCAACACGAGCTCAGTAAGAAGTTCCTATGATTCTCGCAAGGCCCGGACCCCCCGGTTTCGTCAGGCACTTGTGGCGAAAGGCAGCAACTTTGGACTTGTCCAAGCAAGTCTCAATGTCGCAGATCTGAAGATTTTCAGAAGACAACTGCTGCTTGAACAACTGCATGACATGACGTTTATTTCAAGCCTTGTACAGATGAATTCTGAGAGTTGATCGGGGAAACGCCGAGTGCGATGCCCGGTTGATCCGCGCAGACTCCGAGGGACAATGCCGGACAGACGTTTCTGGCAAAATGCTGCATCACACCGTTGACTCCCAGACCATGCTCGAGTTCAAGGATCTCAATCCACGAAAGCACCTGCAGAGCTGTGAAGATCAGTAGTTCCGTGTCCGTGCCCCTTTCACAGCAAACAGTGGCGCTAGCGTCACAGGTTGGATTGTCCAACACTCAACAATTCACACTTGGCAGAATGCGCCCAGTGGCACAGACAGTTGCTCATCCCATGCCGAACTGGTCATGCCGATGCCCATAGCTACGAGGTGCGGCGTATCATTCGTGGTCAAGCTAAGGCAGCATCAGGCGTAAGTTGGAAGGATTTTCTGGTCGGAGTCGGGAAACACTGGGACCTCCCTTTCCCAGCGCCGTGAACCCTTGGCCGGAGGCAGCGCATCGGCACCGTGGCAGAGCCGTTCTCCTTGCTGAAGACATCGTGAAGCACGTCAGGACCCTTGAGTTTCAGGCATACGTAATCATATGTAGGCGGTGTTTTTTCCATTGTCAGATCGCACTCAGTAGCCGTGCTAACCGCTTATGAGGCCGATTCATAGCCATCTGCCATCTGGCCTATCCTATCTTGTACAAGCATATTAAGATAAACCAATCAGTATATTGAGCATGTGTATGTATGTGTATATGTCTACATGTATCATTATAATCCGTTTATGCAGTCATGCTGAAAGGCCTGCTAGGTCCTGCCGCTGCCTGTGTTGCAGATTCTTTCCCGACGGATTTGCACATATAGTGTGCGGCTTTTCAGCAGTGAGGCCTGCGCAGCTGTGTAACATCCGATGAGAAAACACACCTGTGCAGGCATGATGTACAGAGGGGCATTTGCACATGTATAGGAGAAGCAGATGCACCGGCATGGCTGTGTGATGCGACGGCTCAACGAAGGGCGCCCTTTTTAGCAAGGAAAAGGCTACCGCTTTGCTTGTGCTGCCAGCACAACTTTGATGGTAAGCGGAGCTGGGTTTTGATCCCGGCATCTGCTGCTGTCCCTTAGGGGACAGGACCTCGAGCCCTACGCGAACTTCGCTGGTCCGTGCTGCTGCGGTGCGGCCGGACCGACTCTTCTCTCTTGAGCTCCCCGACCTTGGTGGCGGC